GTATAACACAAGTAGAGATAGTGGCTCTGATTTCCAAACTAAAGGGACCCCCTTCCACTTATTGGCTCCAGTCACCAGACTCAATAGCCAGTTAAAGCGACATATTAAGTATATTTCGCCTTCGGTTACAGTAACCCTCTGGAAGTAGAAATAGCCAATATGGTGTATATAAATTCTCGCATTATACCTAGTCCCTACCTACCTAATAATAATTTAATTTTAATAATCATTCAATTATAAACACAATTTTAGATTTTATATTATATTATTARGGAAACTACTAAACTAGATTTTAATACTCAATTAAAATATAGTTACGTCAAGTGCTGCATTCCAGTGAAGTTAACCTATCGTAGTCTCGTGTTTGTACACTCGTTTAATTTTTATTTAGTATGGAAACATAAAATTCGATTAAAATTTTCAAAATTTTTAACTGTGAGTTAAGTGATCATCTCAATTCTAATATTGTCGAGAAGCTGCAGAATTGGCTCCTTATTCCTAAAGAAGGTGACTAGAGGGCATAAATTACAACTAGTAGCACGAAGTCATGTGAAAAATGCATATTCTTGGGGGTAAATTAGATATACACGTATGAATGACACTATTTACCATTGGAACAAATTCTATAATATTAGGTAATCAAATATATTCTATTTATAGATACCSTGAAAAGTACATGGATCTACATAAAAAGACAATTAGATGTGAATACAAGGTTTYAATAAGAAAAAACACAATTTTTTCAAATTCACACATGTCAATTGCCAACATTATTTTGTTAACTTATCTAGAAATAAAACAAACAAACCAGACGTGCATTATGGAAGAACTAAGCGTAACTCGACATACGATGGTTGATTGGGCTAATTTTTGTCGTGAGGTTACTTTCGATCACATACTTTAAAAAAAAACTAAAATCGGAGGTGACTTCGTTGAAGTCGAAATTGATGAGAGTAAATATGGCAAGCGCAAATACCAAAGATGTCATCATGTTAAAAGCCAGTGGGTATTTGGCGGCATTGAACGGGGTAATAATCGATGCTTTTTAGTTCCCGTTGAAAAAARGGGATAAGGAAACGTTACTTAAAATTATTAAAGATTGGATTCTACTAAATACTACAATAATTGCTGGAAAGTATGTATTTTAAAAATAATTATAAATAAAAAACTAATTAATWAGGTACTATTTTTAGGCATAATATGATTGTTTGAATGATGAAGGTAATAATAGTACTTTAAAGTCAACCACAGCATTAACTTTAAAGATCCAGATACCAACCAGCACACAAACATGATCGTAGAACTATGGAGACATGTAAAATATTCACTGCCTCAATATCATAAAAAAATTTATTCATAGCTGGATACCTTTCTAAATTTATGTTTTTAAAACAATGCAAGGCATTAAATATCGATCCGTTCATAGAGTTCTTAAGAATTGCAGATAGTCTTTTCAACYCAATTACGTTGATAATGATAAAAATGATAATGAGGGTAATGGCGATAATGAGGATGAATTGAGTGAGGACGATACATATTTTTAGATATTATATATTATTATATATTATAATAAACACCTATTAATAAACTAATTTTATTATTAAAAGTAATTGTGTATTCTTATATTTTCAAATTCTAAATTCAATGATTGTGCCATAAGTAAAAACAAAAACCTAGGCTTAAAAATAAATAGAAGGTACTCATTAGTCATTAATAATTTAATTAATAGGTATATGTCTCAAGAATAAAAGAAAAATCGTAGAAGACGTGAAAACGTAGCATTGCGCTCAAAAAACGCAAAATCGCAAATTTCGAAAACCGATTAATAACATACTTCAAAACTAAGTTTTACTGACAAATACTGACGGCACCATCGTTTTAAACATGTTAGAATACCTAAGTACCAAAAGAAAATAATATACCTAACYTAACGCAAAATCGCGAATTTCCAAAGGCCATAACTTCGAAACTAAGTCTGACTGACAAATTCTGATTGCACTATTGTTCTTAAATAGTAAACATTAGTAAGTTCCAAAAAAAAAAAAATTGAAAAACTTGCATGGGGTGGAAAAGTGCATTTTAGCCAACAAATAAAATCATACCTATATTTTTTTAAATTAAATAGTATTTATTTACATGTTTTTAACATAATACTATTACTATGTTTATTGCTTTATTATTATTTATTACATTTTGAAAATGCGTTAAAATTATTATTTTCTGCTATTTTTAGGTATCCATATGTGTTTGGAGAGATGTTTTGCATAATCAGAGGGTTTGCTGCTGAAACATCAACGAACGCTACTGTGTTGACAATTACAGCGTTTACCATTGAAAGATACGTTGCAATTTGTCATCCGTTTATATCACACACAGAATCAAATCTACCCAGAGCGTTTAAATACATATTAATCATTTGGGTTATAGCGTTGACACTTGCTTTTCCTCAGGTAAATAATTCAATATGCTTAGAAATTATATAAGTGATAAATCCCGAATTGTTAATAGTTAGTTGAAGTAAGTTATGGTAAGTTAATTTCAACTTCAATTCAATGTTTGTATTCTAATTGATATTAATGATAATTTTTAACACACAAAAAAAATATATTTTTTTTAATCAATCGAAAAATAAATATTTCTTCAGGTAACTGTTAATTATATCATTATTTATTATGTTTATTTTTCATCGTTGCACAAAAAACATTAAAAAAACTAAATAATCATACACAATTGCCTACATATTAATGAATATTTTGCATCAAAATTCAACATCATATCTGTAATTTATATATTACACTGTTTTTTTTTCAATAATTTTACATGCAGGCATAATATTACAGATAAGTAGTAGGTACTCAAAAGTTGTATAAGTATATTTTCGTACTTACTACTAAGTATTATATAATTATATATTATATAATGTATATACAATTTTAAAAAAATGTCAAGTACCTACATATTTAATTGAAAAATTTTTATCAAAAGTTCTATACTATATAAGTTTTMTAATAATAATTATACTCAAATATTACTTTCAGTGATAAAAAAGCAAATAATAATAAACACATCCGAACAAGTATAATATCATATGAACCGTTAAAACATAGTATATTTCATTGGAAGGGTAAATTTCTCATTTAACTATGAAAACTCCAAAGCTTATACCAAACGCTTGTGCAGACTTGAGACTACGTTTTATGTAAAACTTTCATTTATCAGTGTTTTTGATGATCTTTTAATATTAGATTGTTTTCCATAAGCAATWAAAAGCTCAKTGGCCATTGTTTCAAATGAAAAACGAAGGTGAAAAACGTTTCCAATTCGTAAAGTTTTTCAATAGTTATAGTAGATAAATTAAAATTCATTCAAAGATATTTACGCATTATGCCTACTCAGTGGCGCAACTAAGGGGGTGCAAAAAGGTCTTTAGCACCCCAAGTTAAAATTTAGCACCCCCTGTTTTTTATATCTATAACTATTATTATTTTAGTGAAATTCTATGAATTTATGTTTTTAAACGATGGGAAATTTCCTGAAATAATGTATAACTATTTGGTCGTATAATATAATTCGTTATTTATCTTTGTTGAATATTGAAAAAGATTTATTCAATCAGATAAACACCGACACTATTTTGAATAAAATATTGTATGAAACCCAGAAAAATTATGCTGATTTAAAATGTGTCAATTATTATTTATTTTACAAGATTATGAAATTAAAATGTTTCAATATGTTACTGATATTGTAGTAAAAAAATAGTATTATAATTGTTGTTAATTTTTTTATTTTTGTTAAGTCTTAATATGTGTTTTAAAGATTTTATGTATCGATTAAAGTTGGTCTATGTTTAAAGAGTGTGGGGGGATTCACCCCCCCCCCACGGCTCTGTGATGCATTCATAGATTTAGCAACTATGTGGGCCTATGTGCCTACCTATTCAGGAACGTTAATATTAGATCACTAARGGCAAATCTAATAACCACTATAACATGCTTGAAAGATGGAATTTTGTACCGATATAATATTCTGTTCATTATTTCACTGTTATACGTAATTTCTTTAAATATTTGAGAACAATTTAATGTTATTTTTAATCAATTTCGTTAAAAATGTTTATTGTACGATACTGTATTTATTTCAAACAAAAACTATTTAATACAGCTATTTATATGTCTATTATTTCAATGATCGAGCAAACATAATGAAAATAAAATATGACAGTTGTTTAGTTTTGTTTATAGTTGTAAAAATAAAAGTCTGGRTTAACCAACATAAAGAAGCAACGCTTTGTATTTTATGGTAAACTATTTTCTCGGTTTATTTAACGTTTTAGAACCAAAACTATCTGGTTCGCATTTAAAACCATAAATTACAACGATTGTCTCCACTTTGTTCTTAATTTTATCAACAGAATCTGATTGTTTCATTAAGACGAAGTATGGACCTTTTAAAACTTTAACAGTTTATGCACTGAAAGAATGTTTCCAGACTTATAATTTCATTATACGACAAAAAATCTCAATCAGTGACACCAAATCGAAACCTTGTACATTTCAACACACATAATTTTATGGTCTATACTTATTCAACCTAACGCGGTTCTAATATAAAAAGCCTTAAATTCAATGTAAATTACAAGCAAATCACAGTTTAATATTTCTTGTTTTTAATTTTAATGATGCTAAAGGTTAGAGCAGGCGTTCTTATAATCTTTGAAATGAGACCAGATTTTTACTTGTGAATCACTTTTTTAGGATCGCTTACATGTTATGTATTTTTTAATTTTTAATTTTTTTGTAGAGTATGGACAAATATACATACTTACATTATACATTTACATGTTTTTAGACATGATCCAGCACAAAAATATATTTTAAATGCATTCAAACTTCGTGTTCAATTTAATTCCCAGTTATTGTAAAATATTATACTAATGAGTATATTTTGCTTATATAGGTCAGCACTAACTTGATTAAATACAATTCCACTATACAGTGTTAATATGACAWTGAATCACATATAAAATGCATTTGAAAAAAATTGAATTATTAGAGCATCTTGTTAAGTTTCTAAAATTGAATACTCCTCTTACTTCTGTTACATTATAATAATGTTATACCTACCTATACATTTATTATACTATTGTTATAAATAATATAAACATTGGAACTCGTAAAATTATAAATTAACAATTCTCTCTCACCTCAGTACCGACTATGTAAATGATAGGTGTTTCTGTTTACATTATACTTTAAACCATTCCTATTATCCACAAAACCAAGGGTTTCAATAAAAAACTTAGTTTATAGTCTAGTGTTCGTGTTCAAATCTGCTAGGTGAGTACTATATTCGTCTAAGTAATAATTATAGTTCTCTCTACAAGAGTTTGTAAGTAATTAATTTCGACTGACCTACGTTTTCTAATGTTTGTCTAAATGGCTTGTAATTTAGTTTCCTTATTCGCTAAATCCTTTGAGTGAGCATATAGTAGCTTCAAATAAATTTTAAGCAACAAGTATAAATAATTTCACCAGGACGAAAACGATAGCTCATAACCCACAGATCATTAGTACCTATAGTTAATTATTGGCTAAACTACTAATGATAAATGATAAAAAAAAATAAAAGTGAATAACCTCAAAAGAAAAGTATACCTTAATAATTCACAATTCGGTTTTTGWTTAAATGACCATTTTTTTTATTTAGAACTAATTTAAGTAATTTAAGTGTCRACTGAATCTAAAAATAATTTAGACATATTACGTGACGTAAAATTGTCTATAAAAATATGTCACTGTTAAAGATTCTAATGCTTTGAAAATAAAAGAATTATATATTATACTGATTTATTTATAGAGACATGACAGTTTACATGATTTGATTAAGTAAACTAAAGGTTACTTAAAATTATGATCATCATAATTAATAGGTACCTTAAACACATTTATAAATATGACTTCCAGATATTTAGTTAATTTGTGACATTATTAAACTAATGATTTTGTTATAAACTCTTCCATATTTTAAACTTAAAAGTTTAACCATTGTAATCGGTTCATTTATTTCGCTACATTAACAGAAAATACATAGATTAGGGTGAATTAAAAAAAAAAAAAAAAACATTAATACAAAGATAAAAGAAGCACGAATTGTACATCTGAACCTATATTGTAGTAAATACCCCGAGCTTATAAAGATTACCTGAATAAACATTTAAAACTATTATTATAATAAACAACAATTTAGTTAAAGCAATTTCGATTAGCTTTAAACTTGTGCAACTGTTGTTGAAATATTTATTTATTTACTTTTTATTTTTTTATTATACTACGTCTTATCTAGTATGTGTCGCACATCAACAATAAAGAAAAAACACCAAGGGATACGCCAACACGTTTGCTTACAAATATCCATCACTGTTTAAAGTTACTTCACTCGTTTCACGTGGCTCTTTATGGGAGATAAGTTTTCAACAAACTTTTTTTGTTGCTATATCCAATTATTCAAGCGGAAAAAATATATTAGTTTACTGATGGTTTTTCGTTATCCTTAGAAGTAATAGATCATATTATACGTCATTCGTGTGCGATACAACAAATATTGTTTCCACAAAATTTTTCAATATTCTAAATAAAATTATTTAAAACAAAACTATCAACTTGAAAATGCTTGAAGCATATTTGTATTTTCAACGGGCAGACTTATCTCTTTTTTTCAGCCAAACAATACTGTCCGGGCTATTTTTTAATACAATATTTTATTCATTTTCCCGTGGTGGGATTAAATCTAAAAGACCACTTGAAACCTGGTATATTCTGCCACGCTGACAATGTTATGAGTAAGTGAATGTCAGAAGATTAGCTATGATGGACAACATTATTTTAACTGAGTTTTAAGTATGTAGCAGTTGACGGTAAACAAATACCTATATTATGTATTTAAATATCGGATGTATTGATGAATTATATATATTTAGAAGTAACTATATTTCAAATAATTTAAATTAGTAAAATACACACCGAAAAATAATATCTTCATCTTTAGCAATGGCTGAGTGAAAGCTTTGGGGCACTCTGTACCCACATGACATTTTTTATCCCATTATAGTGCTACTAATAAGTGATAATTAGGCATCTAAATTCACATCCTAATAATAKGGAARATTTATATATTAAGATGTGATTCATACAACTGATATCATTTTATTTTGTTCTGCGTTAAATGAAAACATTTTAAAAGCATTTTTCAGTTTGCGTCAGCCATCGTTCGATTTTATGTTATTTCATTCCGGTAAAATACAGAGTAATGGTCAGATAACTTCAAAGTCTGAAGCATTATACCGGTCAACACCCCCGTAATTATTTTAAGCTAGCTGAACCCGTGTACTTCGTAGCCCGTTAAAAATTCTATCTCATTTATGGTCCATAGTTCATATTGTGTGTTAAATTCATTTCATGTGATGATGCTA